GAACAAAGTTTATTTTCTTTTTCTATTCTGTTTTAATTTGTTTTAATTTTTTTTCGCTGTCCTCTGAATACGTAATGCATATGAAAAAAAAGGATTTAATTTTTTCTATACCCACAATCGAGATTGTAATTGAGTAAGAAATTATGTAACTTGGGCTTAATGATTTCATTTGTTTAAAATACATTATATTTTATAGAACCCTTTTCATTAAGGATATGATCACTGGTAACGTCATTTTTTTATCTCCGACATTTTTTTTCTGTTGAGGTTCTGGAAAAATGTAACATAAAGGTTTAATTTATCACTTTTACACAGCTTAAATATGGATTAGATAATTGAATTGAACGTTTCAACCCATGATTGAGGTTCTGCTATCCATCAAGTTCTATTAAGGTCATCAAATTCCTGATGACGGATCGAGCCTGGGCCTTGAGGTTTTGGCAAGAGTAAAGATATGTGCTTCAAAGACAATATTAAAGACCAGTGAGTCACCTGCCGCCACTGGCCAACGAGATATAAATCGCCTCTGTCTTGGGCGCCACTTCCATCATATTATTGCGCGCCTGTCAAATCGCCGGTTGTCTTGTGTTCTTGTTTGAGGCGGCAAATTGTTGTTCTATTTCGCGGCAAGCACGTGTAGGTTGATGGATGAGTCGCATTTTATAACAGACATTTTCAGGGTGCTTACAGGAGGAACCCAACCAAAAACTGGGTTGTGAAACATCCAAAAGAAACAAAAATTTGAAGAAAACAAAAAACATTTGTTATTATTTCGTATTATTCAATTTAAGATTTCAGAACATTATTTTACTCCAAAATATACTTTGTCGATGCGATTTTTCTTAATGAAGTGCTTATGATATGGAAAAAACACATTTTTTTTTTCTAATATTTCATCTAGTGTTTAGTGTACTAAGTAAATCTAATATCTCTTTCAGGCCAGGATTTGCATAGTTCCATATGATTAATTTTCTTAAAGATTGTATCCACTCACCGCCTTGTTTAACTAACTTAAACAAATTGCCTACTGGCTGTTAAAGGAAGCTGGAAAAGCGGGGAACTGGTTTAGTTTTGTAAGAGCCTAACCTGACCGTTTCACGTGCTATAAATTCTTCAAGCCAATCACCGGCCCCTTCAACGTTTGACGAGATCGGGATTTGACCTTTCAGCCGCCTTGGATATGTCATTGTACGTCTTCCTTCCAAACCAACTGCCTCGCTTTATTGGCCGCTCTTCGTATCTCTTAGCTACCATCTATTACGAAATAATCAATTATGCAAAGTTCATAGATTGTAATCTCTAATATTGCTCTCACTCTTTTGATTTTTTTCCTCAGGAAATTTCCATATCCCTCTTTTAAAATATTTAATTAGTAGATTATTTTTTTAATTTTTTTTTTATTTATTTATATGATATTTACAACTTTATACAAAAAATACATCTGGTAAATTCGCACATGAATATAAAGACATGTAACACATGTTGAGAAACTACCCATTGGTAGCACTCCATTAATATGTCTATATTAGGAGATCACGTGGCCATCTTCTTTTCAGACGCCTCGGAGGATTATCAGGAATTGAATAGGAAGCAAGGTTAGAAACAAGAGGGTTGGGATGGTTATGAAGTTTATTATGGAAGGATAGATATCTGGATTGGGCCATATCTGATACATAAGGAACATTAAGGTCATTATGGATGATTTTATTTGTAATAAAGTAAGGAGCGTTGAGGATTTTACGAAGGATTTTGGATTGTAAGGATTGGATGCGAGAGGAATTTGAAGGTTTGGTGGAGCTCCATAGCTCAACTCCGAGTAGATTATTTGAAGATAAAAAAAAAAAAAAAAAAAAAAAAAAAAAAATCGAATTGAATAATACTATTGACCAGCATACTCACTGTAAATTATAAATTTAATTTTTGTTTAGGTCGGTAGATAAACGTATTTCTATATAGATATATTCATGGTGGTAAATACCATGGAAAAATATTTATTTTGTTTTATATTAATACTAGTTGGCTCGTGCGAATAATTCGCAGAAAATTTCGTTTTCTGAAAAAATAGCAAAACAATATGGAAATAAGTAGTTCGTATGTATTATGTAAGGAAGGAATTAATATTTTTTCCTTGATCGATTACAATATTCCATTAAACATTATATACCAAGATATTTGTACATACATTGTTGTTAGGACCCATTGTTGTTAGGCAATTTGTACATTGTTGCTAGGACCCATTTTTAAACAATGACGGGAAAGATGATAAAAGTAATAAAGGGAAAATAATTCCCCGATCATGGGATTTTCTTAATTATTAAAAAAAAATAAAATGTAGGAACAACCAAATGTCGTTAAGAAATAATTAAATTAATATATCAGCCAGGAAAAAAAGTGTAGTAGACTATTCTACTCCTAAATGCAATATATTTAAACAGGAAGACATTATTAAGTATACCAAAACTAATGGACTGTATCTTTGTTAATAATTGTCCTATTTTTTTTTTTTTTTGTGTTGTAGGGAATTTTTTTGTGTTTAGTAATCTTTCTAATTATCATGGGTACAATATTTTCTGGGTACAATGATGCGAGGGGAGCAATAGTTCAAATTTGTAGAAAAAAAAAATTATTTTCGATCGCAATGAAAATTCGTATTCGTGGTTCTTTCGAAATGCGAAATACAAATCTCAACTCTGTTTCTCCTAAACAAATATTTCAACACACTTTACTCCTTCTGTCAATACAAATTCATTAAATTACTCATATTTCTAATCGATTTTTATTTTTTGTTTTGTAGGTAATTTAGTAATCTTTCTATTTATTGTGGGTACAATCTAGAAAAAATTGCATACTTTTTGAGGTATTCGCGAATAAAGTTTCTTTTCCTTCATAACTTTTTACCCAGAAATGTCGGGGAGATGGGACTATTTTTCGCATGTGAATGAGAAGAATATCTTCGAAATGAGTGGTCAATCATTGGATTTGATGAAGAATTGACGAAGTTATGGCGTACCGACAAAAAAACGCCTTTTTGAAATAATATATAGGATAATTAAATTTATTTTTTAATGAAATGAGAGAGAGTTTATTTATTTTAGTTATATACACCTAATATTTATATTTGATTGGATTAAGACCTAGTAGATAGTAACCACCTCTGTGTCCTTCGTCTAGTTTATCTACAGACGCCAAGGAAGTAGGAGCAATAAAATTCGTAAGAGATCGACTGCCGTTTTTTCTTCTCGCCATGGAGTCTTCGTTACCGTCGATCTTTATTTATTTAATATCTTTCGTTACCCTCATCGGCTGACAGTTGAATAGAAAACTTCTCCAGGCCTTGTTAATTCATTTATTTATTTTATTTTGGGCTTACTAATTTTATAATGGAACTCGGTCATTAACTATAAAAAAATCCAGACCTCTCTTCCCATCTCTAATTTTTATAACTGTATACCTTGTTTTTTATTTTGAATTTTTAAATGAAATAAATAGCATTGCATTGCCTCGAGCTGAGCGCCAGGATTAGACCTTATTGATTGGTGATTGAACGGGTTCACGTGGAACCTTTCAAAATATTTGCTATGAGAGAGAGATAAGGTGCCAGAACATTCCTTGCCGATGCGCTATCCTCAAAGATATAAAGGCCGGAGCGTGGCTGGCAGCTACCGATATCTTGCCTAAATGTCGATCTGTTAAGTTCTCCAAGAATCTAGATTTCATTTTCCCCGAAGAATATTTTTGCTTCGATCCGTATTAAAACCATTCTTGGTCTATTTCGGAAATATCCACTTGGAAATAGATCCAAGGTTTGGCTATTGTCGGCTTTCGTGTGCTGGTTCGTGTAGCGAGATTTTTTTTTGTCTCGGCAGCTAAGCTTAACTCAGTGGAGTAAGTTTGCGTTGTCACGGAATGTTTCTGCTAAGCCTGATTTTTTCTATATCTGATTTACTTAAGATTTCCTTAAGTAAAAGTATAATAAATACTCAGAGTAATACTTTTATACTTAGCTCGCACTTCCTATCCCGGAACTTAAAAATTATAACCTATTAATCCATTATCGTACCTACGGTCCTTTATGGATGCGAAACATGGCCGCTTACATCAAGGATTGAGCAACTGCTTAAGATTTTTGCGTAGAATATTCGGACCGAAGAAGGATGAGTTCAGACGGTTACACCAAGCCGAATTGCGTGAACTTTATCCAATTAATATAATTGAGGTTATTACATCGCGGCGAATTAAATGGGCTTGTAAAATTGTTTGGCTTGGTAACGAAAGAATTCTTAAAAGGTTAATATTTGCTGTACTAAATGGCAAACGTCCGAGAGTTAGACCGAAGCGAAGGTGGGAAGAAGATGTGTTAAAGCCGATTTGAAGGGACTGGGTTTGGACGGCGAACGGTGGAGGGAGTTGTGTAATAAGCGATTGGTCGTGGCGGCATCGAACCTTCGGATATATTATTATTATATTTTTACATTACTTTCATCACTGGAAGTGAGTTATCGAATGCGTATTGTAACCTGTTCGTATTTTATATAATCTAAAATCAATTCCAAAACTTTCCTCGTTGCTATTTAAAATCTCATTATCCTATTTGTTACGATTAAAAACTAATATTTGTTATAAACTTAAAACTGTTATCCCAGCTGGTTTTAAGTATACAGGAAGAGGTGCTGCTGGGTACTATTCTTCCTCATTACTAAAATACCATTTTTTGTTACTACGACATCACATCTGCTTATTGTCAAGATTATGACAGGTGTAGATGGAAATATGAAGAGAGAAAAAAATATACTGATAGATACAGAAGCGCAAAAAAACTGTAATTTTGATTAACTCTAATTCTTGCAGTATCTATACCTAGAGGTGGTATCTCGGTTGGTTACTGCCCTGTCAGAATATCATGGAAAAGCTGTTGTTGAGGAAATGAGAGGTTCTACTATTTTCTATTACAGTTTTACCTAATTACCTATGATTGAAGCGCTAACAGCGTTGCCATAATGCTAATCCTTGTACGGTTGTTTTCCATCATCTTGTTCCAAGATACCCCGAGGGCTAGCGCCATAGAGCGGTATAACGGTACTTCCTGACTCTATAAATCGTTGAGTTTCGCAAAGCGACGGTGAAGCATTTCTCCTTGGCGATGCTGATGTCATGGCTAAATCCATTCGGCTCCGAGCTATCTCTTTATCTGGCTTCTCAATATTCGTGTACCGCATTCTGCGTTCCTGTTCAGTATCGATGTATTTTCGACTGTATTATATCTTTTTATACCAATAAGCTCATCAGTGTCTTTTCAATTATTACGTCCTATGCAGATCTTGACCTTCGTATTTAATTTTTTATTGAATTGCAAATTTCAATTATTACTCTTTAATTGTTGAAAACAGGGTTTGAAATCGATAATTTATTTCCACAAAATCAGGTATTAATTATTGTATTTTATTTTTAATTTTAAAATCATATCTGATTTATAAATAAAAAATTTAAATCGATCTTTGATGTTTATTGTTTCAATTAAAAATAATGATCACTCACTGAGTGGTACGGTTTTACATAAATAATAATGACTAAATTGTGATCGAAAAAATGTTGATTAGATAATAAAAATCACCGTTTACACACAAATAAAATAAAATATTAATATGTATGTATAAGTTCTTAATGTACACATTTTTAAATATTATATTTCTGAAATCGCTTTGTTTGTGCACGCGGTTCCCTATATATACATTTTTTTTTTTCAAGCCAAAACTCTAATGAATTTCGGAAATAAAGATGTTCTATTGCTAATAGTGACACTATTCCATCTACTACTCCTTACTGAAACTTTGTCATAGATATTACAAAAAAATTATATTTCTGATTTTTACAAATATTACTCAAGAATTATTATTATTGTTAATTATAAAAAATTGTTCAAGAATAATGATCACGATGTGATTTTTATCACTTATGATCAATAATAAAAATCATCAAATGATTTTTTAAAATACAAGGTAAAAATTTTCATCAGATTTTATTTAAATTTAATTTTTTTAATAATCGATTTCAAACCCTGGTTGAAATATAGTTTCAAGTGGTTGGGAGGTCAAGTCTTTTTTTTTTTTTTTTTGTTATTGTATATAAAAATAAAACAATTTTTTTTTCTTTTTGTAAAGACTCCCACTGAAGACCTATACTGCCTCTAAAAACAAATTTTCCATATGAAATAAAATTTATAAATGTAATTTTGTATTAATATTTGGAAAATAAATTGTTTTATGCCCTTTTAGCTCTAACTGCACCACCAACCTACTGAATAATTTTTAAATATAAGGCCTTCCTTAAATCAGGGGATTTTTAGATAGTAAAAAGCTTAATCGGGTTTTAGATTCTATTAAACTTATCTGAAATTTCTGTAAAATCTTTATTTATACTTTTTGTTATTTTTCTTAATTTAAATCACAAATTTCTTTCCCGTTTCTTTAAAATTTAATCCTAATTTTAAATTATCAATTCTAGAACGTATAATAATTTTTCAATTTGTTATTTTTCTAATTTAAACAAATTAAAGTTACAAGGTGATGAACAAAAGTAATATTTTATTAATGCCAATTTATTATGTTTTGATAAACTTTTCAAATTATCCACATCAGGATATAATATAATATAAGGATATTATCAATAACCTAAAAAATGAAGTACTAAGTTCATATGTTATCTTGCCTTTGATGAAACCTTTCAAATGCTTTCTAAAGTGCTCGCTTCTGATTCTAGACATTAACACTTCAGATGAACTGAATGTAATTGCGTCAAAGGAAGGTAAAAATAAATATTATCTGATGGTACAAAGGTATTCTATGGAAAAATTCATTATTGCTTTTATAGAACTTCTGATTTATGTAACAGAAAACGTAGACAACCGTTGCGCAGTTCCTCTAGTTTGAGTTGGGTAGGATTTTAGATTACTATTAGAACATCGATTTGTTGAGGTTTTTACGAATGACAGCTGTTACGTGATTAACAATTTATTATATAAATTCAATTTTCTATTATGAAATAAACTAAAATCTAATTATTATTCTACAGGAGGAATGTCTCTGAACCTTTGGATGGCATCGAAATCACTTGGAGATTTAAACATTAAGGGATACAGAGGTCATTTGTAAATTTTTTTTTATTTTTTGCTTAAAGAAAAAAAAATATTTTTAATCATGAATAAAAAATATGAAAAAAAGGAGACAATATAACTTGTAATCTCTAATCAAGAGAATTTTTAATGAAAGTATGTTTAATAACTAACAATTCATCCATTTATGTGTTGTTTTTTTTTGTTAGCTACATGTAAACAATATTTATATAAATACATTTATATTGTTTTGTTTCTTTCATATAATAAAATAATTTATAATAAAGAATTTCGAATTTTATCAAGGGATAATCTGTTTAAAATAACTACTAACAAGAGTAGTATCCGTTATTTTTCTACTGTTATTTTGTTTTACTACTAACTCTCAGTAACTGTGATGGACTGGCGGTTATTCACCATAATTGTTATAGTTATATTTGATTTTATATTTTAAATCTTATATAAATTATTTTTCAAATTTCGTTTCCACTACAAACATACATATAAAGTGAGTTATAATGTGTAAGTTCCATTTCCTTTTGATAATAACATATTGCTTTTTATCAGATAACAGTAAGGGGTATGCTCAGCTCAAGGATTTCAGTCAGTCCAGTCACGTTTAATACGTCTTGCTGATTAAATTATAATTTTAGTTTTTGACGAATAATTAAAATTGAAAGTTTCATTCAAGATTGTCGAAGCCATTGGTCATATGATAGATGTGCTGGTGTTATCTGGCGCCCTTAAATACGTTACAAATATGCCAGTAGGTGTTCTGGCACCCTTAAATATGTTACAAATATGCCAGTAGGTGTTCTGGCACCCTTAAATATGTTACAAATATGCCAGTAGGTGTTCTGGCACCCTTAAATATGTTACAAATATGCCAGTAGGTGTTCTGGCACCCTTAAATATGTTACAAATATGCCAATAGGTGTTAAGTATTCTAGCTACTATAACACCACTCCACTATGGCCACGAAGTAGTTTTTAGTTTTCTTCTCTGTGTTGTCTTTTATGATTTATGATCCTTCTCTGTTCATAATACGAATGTTTTACGAACAATTATGAATGAAATAATAATAACATTACTATATCGAACGATTACTAAGTAATTAATAGCCGTAGTTACACGACCCTGCCACAGCACTCCAGACTTAATCCCTCCTAAGAGGCGATTCGGGTGTTTGCAGGATTAGAGCTAAGCTGAACAAACGAGAGCAAGCTAAATGCCTGTCCTTGCTCGTGACTTGAAGCGGCTTTCTCCACAGCTTTCGAAACTTCCTTGGGTCTCTTCGGCTGTCCCGGTTCCTCATCAGTTCTTCATCCGCAGAAATTTGGACACATTCTCTTTCTTCCATTGTAAAGCCCGAGTTTTTATCGATTTTTTTTATTAATTTTGTTTTGTTAATGTAATAGAAATCAAAGATGCTCTAAGCAATGGAAGATGCATCATTAACGAATATCACACATTTATATTAATCATTTTAATTTTTTTTATCGAAGATTTTTTCATAAAACAATGGTTTTTCTATAACCTGTTAATTTTATGTGACCTCTTTACATATTTTTCTAACCATAGTCATTACTCTTGCTGTTTATGTCCCATCAGAGACTCTTTTACTGTATTTACTTATTCCAAGCTTTTCTGGGACGCCCTCTTCTTCTTTCGTCACTTTTCCAAATGTAAACCTTGACAAAATCCCTTCAAGTATTTTTTTTTAATTTTCGTACCACCTACTGGAATTTTTTCGAACGCTTTTTCTTTTTATTTCTATGTTTTCTAGAATTTTCTCTTCTATTCTTATTTTATTCATTCTTGATATTGTTACTGATCGTCGCCATTAATAAATTTCAATTGTTGGAAATTTCTTCTTAAATTCAGGTATCCACTGCATATGCCATAATGCACTATACTATACCGTTTTTATATTACGGTGTAAGAATGATATTCTTACTCCATAATATTCAGTTGCTTACGTTGATATTGTTTGCTTACCTTCTGCGATCCTTTCTATTTACATATTGCTGGAATTATCCACAAATAAGTTGTATACATATATATATAAAGCCTTCCTGTTGCGAGGAAAGCTTTTTTCGAAGTGGAGAAGGTTTTATATATTGCCGTGCAAATAATTCTTCCTTTAGCTATTGACTTGGATTTTTTTTTAATAAAAGGATATCGGTGTTTTTAATGCATATTTTTTTTATTTAACTAATTAGTGAATAGTGTGAATTGATTTATATTCACGTAAGTATTCAAATAGATTTGGAATATATATTTAAATTATATTATAATAACGATACTAAACGCAATTTATGATATTCTATATTTGATTTTTAAAGTTGGGATTAAAATAAATAAGCGGTGAATTAAGAACATTATTCTAAATAACGTTGATTACATTTTTCTGTGAATAAAATTTTAAAAAATAAAAGATTAATAAGCGATAAACAGAGGTATAATATCCCTTCAGGTATTTTTTTTTAATTTTTCGGAGTATCTATCGTATAATGGGTAATAATAATAGTAATATGGTATAATATCCCTTCAGGCATTTTATTTTTTTTTTTAATTTATCGTACCACCAATGGGATTTTTTTTTTCAATCTCTTTTTATTTTTACTTCCATGTTTTCACGTGATTTTGTTGTTTTTTCAATTCTTCTTACTATAAGATTGAAAAGAAGACGAAGCGGGCTTGTTAAGGCGGCAAAAAATCTACATTATCTGTTATGCCAACAGAGAAAAGAAAACAAAGGTTTGAAGGAAATGCAAACTTTAAATAAAGGATTTTCTTAGGATCTATTATTCAATCAAACTATACAAAAACAAAAAACAATCTTCGATGTTGACTGTATAGTTGAAGGGTTATAAATATAGCCGAGAAGTGAAGGTGATGAGCGCCGTATAATGGTCGGGTGGGGACGGGCGGCCAGTTATCCAGTTGCATAAGATGGAGGAATTATGCAAATGCTAAGGTAAGGAGGAAGTAGGATGGCATAAGGACTGAGGGAGTGCAATGCAGGGAGGAATCAGATCTGTAAATATATATATTTAATTAATAATGAAAGCAGTGACTGTCGGTGGTAATAAGGCATAGCTCTCCGGTGACTCATAGGTTCAAGCTTGCTGCCTTAACCGCATTTCCCAAGCCTTGTTGCAACTCCTCACTTCTCGGTGCCTGCCCCAGGCCACTGTATCCAATGGAATCCGCTCTATCGTTGCCAGGGATCACGTTTTATCACCAACTGTATGCTCATAATTGGTCGTTTAAATATTGTGCAAGGTTTCTGGTTAAACGTCAAACGTAGCGGTTTGTTGTCATACCTATTTTAATGTTTCTATTTAGTTGCTGTGCATTGAGTGATTGAAATGGCAGGAGCACCCTCGATGTTCATGGTAACATCTAATTCATTTTATATTAAACATGTTGGGAAGTTCCCTTATTTTTCTTATTTTGCTGGAAAGGTAATCGGCTGTAAATCTTCATTATTCATTGCCTACGTACATTAACTCTTGATTACCTACCTAATTAGTTATAAGTTGTTTTATTATTACAAAATAACTACAGCTATAAGCTGTTTCCTTAAGTTCCTCTTTCATTTATTTCGTAACTGTGGAATGTTTGGTGTATGACATAAAATCGAAATTATTATTTATTCGTAAATATTTTATTCTTTTAGATTTAAATAATATACTATTATATACATATATTAAATAAATCAATAATCCATTCAGTAATTATTATTTAAGCTAGCGTTGTGTTATATTTATTGCGTCTGACTGTTTTTGTCCGTCGCCTGACTGAACGTTCTTTGTAGCTAAAAGCTGACACTATCTGTAGTTAGAGGTTGGGTTCCACAATACTGGTACCCACATATGGAGGTAGATAGGTATTGACTCCACATTTGTGCCAGCCTAACAATAATAAAATTGTTCAGTTATTTTATTTTTACCACTTATTATTATTATCTCCTGTGGTTCAGTTCTCGTTTCTCATGTTTGTTATGTTGTGTTGCAGATCGAGGCGGGATGAGCGCTGCGGCCGGTTGGTGGGAAGGTGGCGGGCGAAGAGAAGGGCTGCAGCTGTCGCTGAACAGGTCGCTGTCGGAACCAGGGCCCCCGAAGAGGTGCCGCCTGGAGACCACCAGCCTTCCAGCCAGCCCTTGCCTGGAGACCAGCTCCACTATCCAGCGCTCCTTGGTCCTCAGCAGGCTCCGCAAGATCCAGCCGGACGCACTAGCCGCCCGCCTCGACGGTATCATGTCTCCCCTGCTCCTCGATGTCAGGCCCTTCATGGCGTACAACGTCAGCCACATCCGCGGCTCCATCAACATCGCCTGCTCCGACCGGATATCGAGGCGGCGGCTCGAGCAAGGCAAGGCGGCCCTAGCAGACCTCGCCACTTCCCGCCAGGGCAAGGAGCTCCTTCGGAAGAGGAACTATAAGGAAGTAGTGGTCTACGATGAGTCTTCTACTGACATGGACCGTATTCCCAACAACCATCCGCTCTACCTTGTCATCGCCGCACTCGTAGACGACCAAAGAGAACCGACTCTTCTGATAGGTGAGTTAATTCTTAATTTATTTGCTTCAAAGAAAAGAATATATCTCTCAGCTCTAAGACTATGAATGTACTTTTCCACAATATGTTCTGATTAACTATTCAATATGGTGTACATGACGCGCCTGTCTTCAAAATTTATAATACTTGAGCTTGGTTTCGGTTCAACTACTATAATATGGTAGTACAGGGTGTCTACCAGACCTAGAACATCTGAAAAACTCAGGGATTTTTTCGAACTTAAGAAATATGACTATTAATTATAAACCCAAAATTAATTTAATAATTAATTTTTTAGCAGAATTCTATTCCAAATACCTGATTGCTTACACTGTGACCTTTCCGCTCCTTTGTAGATTGGTCATTTTCAAACTTATTCTATTTTTATCAACAACTTATTTCATATCACTCGATGAAAGCACGCACATACCTAATTGTTATTTTTACTTGTTGTTACCGCCATTATGCAAGAAAAGTGTTATAATCCGATCAAATTTCGTTGTTCAGTTTTACTAAATACTGTTATTTTATTATCAATAAGGTTGATAACTACAATGAAGGCGCCAAATAGTTTATCAGTTAATATTTCTAAGTTTAGCTAATTGTATACGCCCATTTACAACTAAACGAAGCGCATGACCAAATTTTGAGTGCTGAGGCTATGGGAACTATACCCAAGGATACTTCAAAGGAGAAGAGCCATTCGTCACACGACAATGGCCCTTTTAGGAATTTCTTCCCATGATGAGTAAATTGTCTTAATGGCGACCTTTGTTTTTTTTTTACGTATTAAATTCATTCAAACATTAGAGGTTATGAATATTCCTAATGCATAAATTACGTTTAGCGAAACCTTAAAAACAATTTCTTTGGTATTTAGCCTTCTGCTTTGAACGTTTTGCATCCAATTTCATTTTCGTTAATAACCTATTTCGTTAATAAAATGATGAATGATTAATACCTACCATTTTGAGTTCCTTTTTGATCCACTACTATAATATGATAATATAATATAACTCCTTTTTCATCCACTATACAAATTACTCCAATTTATTTATTTTTTAATATTATTTATTATGATATTTACAATTGTATAAAAAAATACATCTTGTAAAGTTAATTTATAATAAAATCAACATAGGTCTAGTGATTGAGGTGTATTAATTTTAATCATTTACTATTAATAAAAGCTTATAGACTAATGAGTGAGTCAATTTCATTCAGTCACGAAGTATTTTTAATTAATAATTTTTAGCCGATGGTTATTGGCGTGATGTTCTAATTGTTTCACCATCCAATCGCGTCCCATCCGATCTTGTCTTTGTGACTTCTACCCTCCTCCTCATCGATTCCCAAAATCCTGCTCATTCCTCTTATCTTATCAAATATTTTTCTGTTTTACTTTCTTAAGAATTTCCCACGAACTTAATATTATTATTTTTTTTTATATACCTTTGTTGTTTTAGTAATTTTTTAAATATTCTTTCCTTTATGCCATATTTTTACTCAATGTTTGTTCGTGTTAATGAGTACGAATCCACACTTACATTATAATAAAACAGTACGCCCGCTCTGTATTGTCCATTAAGTTATATTCTTTTAATTTAATTCTAAAGGGACTGTGGCCCATAATAATAAAGACAATGTCCATTTTATTTATGTATTTATTGAGTAATATAATAACCTGTCACATGGACAATGATTATAGTGAAGTAAGACTACATTCATACTATACGTAGAGAAAACATAAAATAAACAGAAGCAAAATAACAACTAAATGATAATCAAAAATTATATACAACAAGTAAAAATAAAATAACTTAAAGATAAGTAAATTAAAAAAAAAAAAAACACAAATACCTCTATAAACTATTTATAATCAGGCGAGTGAACTCCAAACCAGGCTTGTCCCTCCAACTATAGACGGAAAAGCAGGATTCCAGAAGATCCATTACTTACACCATTACACTACTCTCTCAATCGCGTCACTAGTGCTTAAACTTGTAGAGATTGAGCGAGAGCGCTTTAGCCCTCTCTCTATACCATCATGTCTATTAGATTAAATAATATAGTTCTTGGTAGACTCCTTTTTATCAAATTATTAACATTCGCCTGAAACTTCGTAAACATCTTCATCACATCGTAACCTACAAATATTTTATTTAGTAAAATCTTGGAATCTGGGCGTTTTCTATCTGGAGATCGGCAAATTTTGTCTATTTAATTAGGTACTAAAAACTCATGAATACCCCTATGATTTCCACTCCAATCGTAAGATAATATGATCGCAATGTCGTAAAAAAAAAAAAAAGGTTTCCTAGAAAAATATTGGTCCGGTTTGTATGACCTCCACCCCAAAAATGTCAAAAAAAATGTACAGATTAAATGGCCCAATATTTTTGTAGGTCACTTTTTTTTCGATTTTGTGATCATATTATATTATCTTCAACTGGAAAGTATTCATGAGTTTTTAGTACCTAATTAAATAGATAAATTTGCCAATCTCCAGATTAAATACGTCCCAATTCTGAGAATTTGCGTAGATAAAATATTTGTAGGTTACGAGATGAGATGAAGCTGTTTACGAAGTTTTAGAAAAATGTTGATAATTTGATAAAAAGAGGTCTGTATCAAGCACTAATATAAAAATATTAAAATCATTTATCATTCATTTACTAGCTGATTTAGTGAATCCCTCAGTTCTTGACGTGCTGTTGGATTATTTAGACTTATCCATAATTTGTATTGACAAATCATTCAATAGATGCTCAATATGGTTTGCAAGTGGGCTATGAAGGAAGGTGGGCTATGTTCTTTTCAAGACGTCTCACTATCAGGAAGATTCGCCCCTTCAGTACATAAATTGTTGTAATTTGATTAAAAAATATCTTTTTACCCTGCTCACACCAAAGTTATATTTGGCTCCTCCCGATGGAAGTCCTGCTCCAGTGGTAATTACTTTAACATTTATTGACCATGTTCCGATATAATTTACATAGAATGAAAACATTAGAAATCATGGGTCATTTGTCTGCAATTCAAACTATTAGATATTAAATAATATGAATCGAGATATTTATTCATGTTGGGACTCTGCAAATAGATGTTCATTGTATATAAACGAAATTTACGAATCAGAAGTTTATTTTTTACTTTGACATATAAAGTATATGTCAATCAAAGATATTTTGATCGTGAAAAGTATCCGAGTTTTCCACATTGAACACATGTCTTTAGCCAATCACATTAGTTTACGTAGTGCATAAATATTATCAGATTCTGTATCGAAGTTTAAAATGCATTTACTCAATGTCTACGTTATAGCCAATGTTTTCATTTCGAAATGTTATGTTAATTAAATTTGTCCTTTTGAATACATATTTATAAAGGCAAGCCTGCTTAAAATTCAGGCACATGTTTTATGTCTAGGAAACGTTACAGTTTTCGGTTTGTGAATTTATTATCTCTTAGTTATTATGCAACGATTTTCTAAGCACGTTTCTAATTTTGAAGTGCTCATATATTTAACAGATTATTTAGCATAACTTTACTTTTTATCTATATCTTTATAGATAAAAAGTAATTGTCTTTGACAATGTTATTCATTTATTGTGCAGTTAATTACATCAAATTTCTATTATTTATTTTTTATATAAAATCATTTCTAAAATAAATACAATGAAAATGAAAATATTTTTTTTATAAAATTATTTATGGAGAAATATTACAATCTGTCACAATTAAGGACATTTATAACTGTGTTCAGAGAGCAAATCCACACTGTATTTACAATAAATAATACCGAAAAATAATAATACTAACAGTAAATGTATATAAATAAAATAGCTAAACTAATCAATATAACATCTTAAACACGAGCATACTTTTGTACAATATTTACAGAATCCACTTCACTCAGGAAAACTCCGAGCCAACCCTTTCCTCCCACTCGTGGAAGGAAAGGCAGGACTCTAGGAGATCCCAGCGCCTCTCACTCATTACTGGTAAAAAGGATCAGTGGAGGCTAAGCCGAGGCACTATAATCACACATAACAACTAATTAAAATTATTCATATTGAACATTATAAGCGTACTTAAAATTGAACTGTTATCCCATAACCAACTTGAAACAGTCCATCGTAGTGTTCCAGTCGATGTAAAAAATATTAAGCTAAGTTGAGGGTAAACGGAACACAAACCTCATGAATAAAGCAGTTTTACAAAATGTTTTGTCGTTTTTGAGCAGAGAAATTTATTTCTAGATAAAATCAGATCCTTGAAGTATTAGCTTTTATTGAATATCTATTTTAACTAAAAAAAAATCATGGAATCCCCAAAAATTTACCATTTTATACTCTGGCAAAATTAATAACAATCCAGGCTTCCAAAATTTGAAGCGTTATAGGGTTTAATTATACTGTCCAACTGTTCCTTTCTTGTTGAATGTCTCATTGACTGCATCTTCCAAGTATACCTGTGACTTTATCCTCGACTTCTTTCTATCTGATTTTGGCCATGTTTTCCTTCTACATTCTTTTGAAATGACCAAACCACTGTAATTAATTTTCTTCTATTATATATTCGCCTGATTTTAGTCCCAGGTTAAAATATTCCACCAGGTCCTTCCTGATTTTTCTCTCTATCCTCTTTAGTTATCTCATCTCCATTGCTTGGATTTGGCTTCTGTGTATTCAGGTAATAGTCCAGGTCTCACTGGCATAAGTCAGAGAGAGGAAATGAGGGGATAAACGTAGCCTTATACGCAATTTGTTTAACCTTACTTCTTCTTTCCCAATAAGGCAATCTGGAGTGACTGAAAGCATTAGCCACTTATATACATATCTTTCGATTCTAAATTCGAATTATTTATTTTGAAATAAACACCTATATATTATTAAATATTTAGTAAATAACCAGAAGAATTTCTTCTTGAAAATGATAGCTGATGAGACAAGATAACTTACAATTTTTTTCATATTCCACAATAAGATTCAAGATAAATATATTGTTCAATGGATTTGCAATTGACCGTTACTACTTGATTTTCTGTAACGACTCGTTCAATTAG